ATTCCACTTTCAAAGCCACGAAAAAGTGGAAAAAACTTTTATCAGAATTATTATGTCAAAAACCTGCTAAAACTACAGACAAAAAATGCAGTTTAATCATCATTTGATTAGTTTTACTATTATTATGCTTTTATTCCCTAATTTCTGTAGGTACATATAAATATTACTGTTTTTTAGACCAGCCGCTGTTTTTATACACTTACATAAAGTGTAAGCCAATGTTACTAATATAAATTTTATTATTGTTACTTTATATAATCACCAATCCTATTGCTTCTCGACTTTTTGTCAAAGATCAAAGTGTATTACCTGAAAGAATTTTATTTTGTTGAATAAAAGATTACCATAAACCTTATAATTAGCCGGATAACCATTCAGTATACACAGGTAGTTTCTATACCACTTTAGTTTGAACTTAGCCGATACTAACCAGCTAGGGAACCAGTTATAATTGAAATATGTAAACCAAATAATTGAAGTACTTAGTTTTAAGTAAAACAATTGGGTATATTTATAAATACGCATAAATAAAAACGAAACAAATTATTATTCTCTAGTTTATTTTATAATTTGCATTACATCATGACATATAGGTACGTACTGATGCAGAAATTGGTGATTTTCTCGTTGCATTTCAGTATAGGGACACACTCAGTAGAGCCATTTGGACACTTAAAATTGATTTTCTTTTACTTGCCACAAATCTTTTTAAGTGTTGCGAAAGTGATTGTTGTGTGTCCGAAAAATAACTGCATTTATAATTATTCGGCTGAGTGCTTTTTTTGTTGTAAATCAATCAGTTTCCCAATTAGATTATAATTGCTTGGACTTACTATTTGTTGTCTTAATTTTTCGATGTTCATTTTTGTACATATTCAGATTTTTATTTGTTATTAATTTCTTGTGGTCTTTTTTCGTATATGAAAATTGAACTGTATATATAATACACGACAAGCGGGTGCCGAACTGTTACCAGAGATTATGGGTGTCATAAATTACACCCCAGCTTTCCTGAGTTTCAACCAGCCTACCACTACTTCTCGTCTTTATTTTTCTACACGCAAACTTCTTGTGAAGGCAATAACACGGCAAAATTAAAAATCCGACAGTTTTCTTTTAGCAAACATCCCCTTAACCGCAATAAATTTGTTTCTTTTTATCGTAATGAGTTAGTTTTATTTTTTAAAAACATATGAAGCGTTTAGGCAACCAGTTATACGTGATCCATGTAAAATCTTTGTCATACGTCCTTGGGCACTTAGTACGGATCGCCGTACAGTTAAATCTGAGAGGCGGCACGTTTACATGACCTACTGCGATCCTATAATCATGTATAGAAACCCTGTACTAACAATAACACTACTATATTCCCAAGATTTTTGGAAATTCGGATGAGTTATTGTTGATGTAATCAGTAAAATAAATTGCCCCATGCGTTAACTTTTATGAGTTATAACCATAAGCAATTCGAAATAAACTGCCACTCACAACAACGATAAACACCGAAATATCATTCAAACGCATTATTCTAGGAAACCACAAACTCAGAACAGGAGGCGGAGATGATAATTTACGATTGTTTCTTCATGTTCTTGCCTAATTTTTTGAATGTAAATAATTATTTTTTCCCATTTTGTAATTAACGAAAAACGAAACTTTCTTAAAACAAAAAAAAAACACTGGTTCAAGGATATTTACACTCCCTGAAGTACAATTCTAACAAATTCAGCTTCTTCGAAAATTGATTTGAAGTAAAGAATTGTATGGACTGCTAAAGTATAGGTAAGTACAATGTATATATTGGAGATTTGGTCCATATTTTGTATGATTATTGCCAGCTTTATTACGAGAAAAATTGAATAATAGGAGGTATAATAATAATAAACAAAATCAAGTCAAATTCATCAACCACAAGTATGAGTGTGGTATTTTTATAAAATTTATATTATTACTAAGCAAAACTTTGTGATGACGTCATCAGATTATTGGTGGGGATGATTAGACAAATTTTGGTTAGCGTTTTAAGATCTACACCATATTCGTAGCATACATCTGAAATTTAACAACAATCGGTCTGATAGTTTCGGCTTTAGTTTCCTGTGTGTTTTCCATTTGTAAGTAAGTATAACGAAAACACCTCGAAGAGACTGAAAATTAAAATTTGTTAAAATATCAGTTTGATCTGTAAATCTGCAAAGTTTTACGATACTTAAAAGTGGAATTTATTCATGACGGAATTTTAGAGGGCGCTAAATTACTGAGATTTATTTAACAATTCTTAATTAAGTAAAATGAAGCAAAATTCTTCCATTTTATATTTATTAAAAGTTAAATTACTGGCATATTTTTAAATTTTGTACGATTATCCCTTGAGTCCGAATTGGTATTAAAACCATTAAAACATAAAATTCAATAAATCCAAGCAAATTATTATTAGTGAACAATAAAATGTTAAATTATTGCAATAAAAAAAATCCGCTCAATATCCCCTTGGGATATATTTATTGTCTTTAAATTTTTGCAACGTTTCAAACCCGATTTGCAGCTTTTACCCAGCTACATAATCTCAAGAGCCGCCACTGACCCTCTTCCTTTAAAATTGAAAAATATCACCGGAGGGCAGTTATCGGGAAATGCTTGGCAATGCGGAAAATTCATAATTGGATCCGTTCCGAAAGTGACGAAGTACTTTCGTAGAATTCCCCGAAACGGTACGTAAGGGAAATGAATAATGAGCAACAAATGAAATATTCATCATTTCGCTGATAGGGTTAATAACTGCGTGGTATTACATATTATCATTAAAATCTATTCTTCCGCAAAGCGGTTGACATAATTAGTTCCAACCCTCTTGATAGCAGGGGCTTTGTAATAACCACCAACATAAATCCTCTGAAATGTATCAAGTTAAGTGGAAACTCAGGTTAGACACTCGCTATCGATTGAGCGTTAAGACAACTTTAATCAAAATAAAATAAATGAATTTCTGAGAAATGTCCCGTCATTAGAAGTCGTCCATGTCGCGTGACTAACTTCCCTCAGAATCCACCGTTTTGATTAAAAATTCATGGTTTTATTGTTAAAAGAATTACATTTTTGCATATTAAAAGCGACTTTAATTCTTGCCGGAGGCTGGCGTATTACGGACTCCCCGAGGGCGCCAAATATATCGGGAGGGAATTGCGTTAGAACATATTTTGATGGGCTCGGATGATTCTTGATGAGGATTTAATAGAATATCGTGAATTTGGGAGCAATTTTACCTGAGGGTTTACTAATTTTGTTTCCACATTGTGTGCGGCCGGAGACATGACAGCTGGAGAGTGGAAAGAAGGGATCCGACGATAAACTAGAACGGCATAGGCGGTAAGCTAAGGGAAGCTGACGCGTGCCATTCGCCTGATGCTTTTAAAATGTTACTTCTAATTTCTGTTTTCGTTCTTTTTGTTGTCTGACAGAGTCTTGATTTATTTTTAAAAATAAATGAACCGAAACATCAAACCTTTTAAAGATCAGGTAATTCTGTCATACTGCGCTCTTCGCCCTGGCAGAAAAATTAATGGCTTCTCCGGTTTTTTGTTCTGACCTAATTAAAACTTTGATCTTTGATATTTTATCAAAAATGTAGTCACGTCACAAGCAATAATAAAGGGGGCAAAAGTTTCTTCATATTGTTGTAGCAAAATGACACCATATCTATTTATAAAAAGCAACACCGACTTTTTTACTTGAAATAGAAAAAAAAACGAGCATAGAACACCTGTAGCCAGAACTTAAGAAAGTCGTTTAACACACACTTTTTCAGTAAATGGGATGAAACATCTGTCGTGAAATGTAAATTACTTTAGATACCTGCTATTAAGGTCAATTATTATAAATACTAGTTTTAACAATTATGGAACATTTTGAAATATGAACTGCAAAATTTTCATCTTATATGTTAACAGAAAACAACGACACTTTAAGACTTAAAGAACTGCATTAAAATGATCCATTTTTCCATAATGGATGTTTGAGGAACAACCCATATAAGAAATGTTATATGTATCTTAAGTAATTTAAGTTTACTTGTCCAACAGGAACATAAGTAATGTAATAAAATATAGTTTAATAACACAAGTACCTGATTTGACACAAGTAAAAAAATTGCAAAAAATATAATTTAACGTCTCTTGGGATATTTGTGTTTACGTAACTTGAAGAGAGTCGTGCCACATTAAAACTTATATTACCAAGAAGAGCTGCACAATTTATTTTATCAGAAATCAATCTTGAGAGAAAGTTTACACAGAGAATATCTCTCCGACAGGAAAGTGACAACATCTGGTAACGTTGAATAAGATGTGCCATATCGGTAAGCTCTCTGGATATATTCCATCACGGTTAAATGAAAAAAACTTTAAAACTTCCTCTGAATTCTAACTAAGGCTATTTGCTGTGACGACTGCTGTTAAATTAAACAAGAGTATTTCAGTTTAGCTAAAACAAAGGGATGATATAAAGTTTTGGTTAGATTGTACATAATTACGAAAAAAACGAAGAACTTATTAGCAAACATTATAACAAAATTTGAAAATATATATTTTCTTCCATTATGTTTAAACATAATTGTACGATACGAACAGTTTGATTTGTAAGTTAGTTGTAAGCGGATAAAATATGGAGCTATTATAAAAGATGTAATTAGTGAAATTAGAGGTGTAAGAGCGCATTAATTGTTAAAGGATAGTTGAACAATCAAAGTTAGTAGATTTAGGGGTCTATTTTGTAATTTATCGCTCCAGAACGATCTCGTTCCCAAACGATAATCGTTAGAAGCAATCGTAAAATCAGTTTAGCGAGATTGTAAAAATTTCCAATTTTATAAACACTATCGTAATCGTAAAGCTTTGAAATCGTTAGCGGAACGATGAATCTAATGTTTTTAGAATCGGTAGTATTTGAATTTGTGTAGGCTGTCGATTACGCTGTTCTCTGTGTGACATTTGTTTTGAAAGTTAGTAAAATTTTGTGAAGTTATAACTTATAGCATGTAAGTAAACAATAATTATGAAAGAAAAACATCAAAATAATCACACTAACACGAAATTCAGTTTACAATACGTTCACAGAAGCAATGGACAAACGTAAAAGGGCCCAGCGTATCACCCAACAGCAATACGAGCTCTATGTCCACGAGTTAGAGAGTAACGCCGATTTTAGGGCCCAAAAGTTCGTGGCAGACAAGCCAGATCTTTTGGAAAAGATCTGGGAAGGGTTGGTGGCCAAACTCAATTCTGTGGGAGGACCACAGAAAAGTGTTAAGCAGTGGAGAGAGGTATGTGTAATTAATCAGTTAATCACCCAAACACTATTTTTAAAAATGTGTACTTTACTATAATTTATGCTACACTTAGCAATTATTCTGCTTACACCAACACCTACCCTTGTTTTAGATGAAGTGAACATAGTGTTTACTCATTATCAGTCAATTATGAGAACTGAGAAGTTTTATGTTTATAAATACTGTTACACTATAAACCATCACCTCTGTATTTTTTAGTACAACACCAAGAATATAACATAGGGCAATCTAATTATAATGTTACGTATGTCTGGTACCCAAGTAAATTTCACTGTGTTCCAGAGATTTGCAGATTGGAAATTTAATGTTAGGAAGAAGGCGAGGAATTTACGACTGTATGAAAGAGGAACTGGAGGTGGAGAAGCTGCTGCAGGTACTTTAACAGACCTGGAGCAGCGACTCCTAGGTATTACGGGGAAAGTCGTTGTTGCGGGGTTGGTTTCGTTACCTGAATTAGGTGTACCACAATGTAAGTATAAGAAATATTTGTTTGAAAAATGTTGAATAATAAAACAAAGACACATTATTCGTGAAAAATATGGCACGAGTTCATGTGGAAAAATTTTTTTGGTATAGTTCAGCTAAAGATAATAGTGCATATAGTGTTTTGATTGGTTAAGTAGTTTTTAGAACATTATCTTCTAACTGCCCATTCACAATTGACATAAGGCATAAGAACGAGAGCATAACATAATTTACGTTTTTGGTTTGTGTCTGGGTTATGCTTATGTACGTTCACAGTGGACAGAGTGAACTCTGTAAGAATTGTTAAACTGCGCAAACGCAGAACAGAATAACTGCCGGCTAAGCATAGGCTGTGAAGTACCAAGTGCCACCTGTTAAAGGGAATTCAATAGCAGCATTGAAAAGTCCCTAGATTTTAACATAATTTTGACATAATCTGTGCACAAAGTTGAACTTATTTCAACTTTGTGTACGCACACAAGGATTACATAAAACGTTCATAAGCATAAGAATTAAGTTCGTCCACTGTGAATACGTTTGCGTATACGTTTTCCATCGTTTCAACTTTATATATTTATGTAAGCTTTATGTACTTGTTATGCCTTATGTCCATTGTGAATGGGCAGTAATACTTTGGAGTCGTAATCGTATTATGTATCTGTATCCTTTACAACAGCGTTCTTTCAATATTTAATTACATTTTTTTAATAAAGTCCTAGGTCATGGCAGTGAGAACAGTGTAGACTTTGATGATCCCGGTGATCCCATTGAAACCGATACTTTTCCCATACCTGCCTACGATACACCTCCTGCTGCCCCACCCAACGTCATTCCTTCGACATCCAAAGATAAACCCGTCCCAAAAAAAAAATATAAAAATAAAACGTTGAGTTCGTCACTAAAATCAGTCCTGGAAAAAAATGACGGAACTTTAGAAGAAATTAATAACAACTTAAAAAAATTGGTTGAGTTAAAAAAGCGGGAAGTGTTATTAAACGAAATGAAATTTAAATTAAAATATCCTAGTGTAAATTTTGATGTTTTGGACAATTCTGTTTAATAGTTTAATTATTTTGTTTTAAAAAAATAAATATATTATTGAAAATGTTGTAGTATTAAATTATTTCTTGTGATGCGCCCTTCATGCAGTAAATTGTGTTCTTCATATTCCAGTTCTTCATTATTGTAGTTCTCATTGTCATAGACAATGTTGATTTCGTCATTTTCAATATTTCTTATCCGTAAGATATTGTGTAAAACAGCACATGAGTATATAATTTTCCCTGCAACTTCTGGTGAATAGTGCAGAACTCTGTCTTTGAGCAAACACCTAAAATATGATTTCAGCAGACCAATACAACGTTCAACACAGTTCCTCGCACGAATATGTGCTTTGTTGTAACGGCCCTCTGGTGTATTATCTTCAGCTCCAATGATAGGGGTCAAAAGAAACGGTGCTAAAGGATACCCTGAATCTCCTAAAAGCCATGTTGTTCTATCGCCCTGCATATGGTTGTTTCTCATAATTTCCTTAACATTACTCATCATCCAAACGGCACTGTCGTGAACTGACCCGGGAAAACGAGCGTTGATATTTAAAATTTTCAAATTAGAGTCGCATATTAGCTGACAGTTTATGGAATGACTGTTCTTTCTGTTCACATACACTCTGCCAGGATGAACAGGATGTTCTGCAGGAGGGGGAAAAATAAGAATATGAGTTCCGTCAATGCATCCCTCTATACCGGGAAACCCAAATTTTTCGTAAAATCCCGCTTTCACGGCGACAGCCTCTTGCATATCTCTGGGAAACTGTATGTATCTTGGAGCAATTTCCACTAAAAGGTTTGTTACCTCCTTCAGAGATTTGCTGACTACACTTTGCGAGACGGCGCAGTGTTGATCTTTGCCCACAGATTTTTGGTAACTTCCTTGGGCAAAGAAATGTAAGGAAACCATAAATCTTACAACTGACGGAGTTCTTGTTGCCCTCCTTCCTCGTTCCATTCGCGGCAGTATTTCTTGAAATACATCCCTTGCCGCTTGCCTTGACAGTCGGTAGGTCTTCCTAAAGGATTCTTCTGGAACGAAGAAGGGGTCGTTTACATCTCTTAAAAACCGAGACAAATTTCTCATTCTGTCCCTGCAGTAAAAAAAAATATATAATAACCTAATCCAAAAATACATTAATTACACTTACCTTCTCTCTACTTCTACCAATATTTGCACCAAAACGTTCCTCTCCATTGTATAAATATTTTTCTAACGTGTTCTGACACTTTTAACGGTCAACTGAAACCTATCGTTCCGGAACGATGACATTCTAACGATGCGATCGCTATCTAACGAGACGATAGTTGTTACAAAATCGCCATCGGTACCAAAATCGTTATGGAAACGATTATCGTAAGCTAACGATGCTCTAGCGAGATCGTTGAGAGTTACAAAATAGACCTCTTAACGAGGAAAAAGTAATTATTTTTCTGGCTTTTATTAACTTTTACGTCAAAGTGGAAAAAAGCAGAGGTTGTTCGACGAATATCAGGCTTCTAAATTTAAATCTTTGAGAATAACAAAATCGGGAAATCCTCTGCTCTTTATTTGTCTTCGTTGATCTTCGTGGTTTAGTGGAAGTAAAATTTGTAGATTATTTTTGACTAATAGTTATAAGCAGTGCTATCTATCTATCTATCTAGCCATCTATAAAAAACGATAAAAAATGTAGAATTTTTTCTAACCTGCTTTAAGTGATCACAATAGAGCTGGTACACGAAGAACCAACCACATGAGAACGTTGTATGCAAGGAATACGAAATATAGGATTTCCCAATAATATCTGAAACATGTTGGTCAAAAATTAATTTTTGATCGAATTTTGTCCCAAGATCTTTAGTGCTTGCAACTCGTTTTAATTAAGAAAGCTCCAAAAAATCGAATGATTCAAACCACAATGTGGATTTTTGCACCGTTTTAGAGATATGTTTTGTCAAATTTGAAAGAGTCTCTCTTTTAACTCACAAATGACATCTTTCATATAGAATTATAAAAATCCGAAGAATCGAATACTTGGAACTGTAGTGTGGATTCTTGTGCCCTTTTAGAGTTGTAATTGATCAAATTTGAAAAAAGCTATTTCTTAAATCCCAAGTGACATCCGTTCTATATGTATGTCCGTTTCTCTATACCAAGCAGATTGTATATCCGATTTGAAAAATTGCCCATAGAACTAGAAAGCTTTAAGTAATGAAAGGCTTCAAATTGCAACGCGAATCCTTGTGCCGTTTTGGAGTTATGTTTCGTTAAACCAGAAAAAAGGCTCGTTTTTAATTCACAAATATTCTTCCGATATTCGTCCCTACATACTAAACCGATCGAGTATCCAATTTATAGAATTAGAAAACTCTAAAGAATCGAGTACTTCAAATCGCAATGAAGATTCTTGTCTCCTTTTGAATTTGAAAAAAGGCTGTCTCTTAGTTCAGCACTGACAGCTTCGTCTCTGCATATTAAACCGATCGGATATCCGGTCTGAAAATTTACTCGTAAAATTAAAAAGCTCAAAAATATCGGATGCTTCAAACCATAACGTCGTGTTCTTTTAGAGCTAATTCTATGCTTTTGAAGGTCGTTTTATCGAACGCTCCTTTAATATCCAAGAACTATCTAAGGTGGAGAGTTTGTTCTCCATCGTCCACTCTATACGGTTTACAACTGTGTGTAAGGCCGTATCCGTGGATCCCCTTGGATGTAGGCGACAATTGCGTTGATAATAATAACTAATAATAAGGTAGAATCTAGGATGTGAAAATAAGTAAAAAAAAACGCTAATCGTAACTTTTTTTGTTATCTAAGTACTTGTTGTAAAATTCATTTCTTATTTCATGCACCTGACCTGACTTGGCCTAACGTGACCTGACCTGTCCTGACTTTTCTATTGTCCCAAACTAACAAATTTTAATCATTTCTGAAAATATATAAAAACTACAAAGTACATTCTTGAAACAATTATATATTCCTTTTTAATCTACGTACAAAATTTTTATACTCTGCTATTTGACGAAACTGTGAAAATTGCTGTATTTCAATTAGCGATTTTGGAAAAACGGTAGGAATTTCCAAGAAACGGGTCCGAAAATAATGACTTCTGTATATCGAAATCTACAAGAAAATGTTTCAACTGGTTTTCGGAAATAGTTGAAAAATGCTAGAAAATGACAAAAGTGCGAAAATCAGTCTTATATTATCAAATAGTAGCCTTTTTGTTTTCATATTTGTAGACTTTCACACAAGATGAAACTTAAAACATCCTTAAAATGAAAAATTTGTATAAGGAAATATAGATTTTGCAAATAGGCTCCGCCACAGAATTGCAAAATGCATATTTCCATGTAAAAATGTACAATTTTAACCATGTTCTAAGTTTTTTGTTATCAAAAAATGGCTAAGTTTATAAAAAAAATGGCGAAATATAAGCCCCGCCCACCCACCCTATCTCAATTCTGATGACTTTTTTTATTCGTCGTAAGCCGAGGGGCGGAGCTAAATTGTAAAATCCTTACTTTTCTACAAGAAATTACGATGTGAAATATGTTCTTAAGTAATCGTATTATGTATAAAGAAAACTAAATTTATAATTTATGTTCTTTTGATATTTGGATTTCTTGATTTTTCAATTTTGCGATATTTTAATTGTTCAATGTTTTAAATTTTAGATTTTTCGATTTTTTGATTTTTCAGTTCTTCAGTATTTCTATTTTTCAATTTTTCAAATTTTGACGTTGCTAAATTTTCAGTTTTCCGATTTATCAATTAATTTATTTTTGATTTTCCCACTTCTCGGCTTCTTAAAGTTTTGATTTTTCATTTCTGCAGTTCCTCGAATTTTCGACTTTGCTTTCTTGGTTTTTCGATTTCCTAATTTTCTAATTTTTTAATTTCTCAATTTATGGATTTTCTTTCAGTTTTGGGATTTTTCATTATTTCGTTTTTTCGACTTTTTATTTTTTGTATTTTGAGTTTTAGTTTCTTAAACTTTCGATTTTTCAATTTTTTGACCGTTTTATATTTCGGATTTTTATTTTTTGATTTTCATTTTTAAAATTCTAGAGTTTTCTATTTCTTGAGTTTTCTGTTCTATATTTTTAAATTTTCGGGATTTCAATTTTTTGAGATGCGGAATGTTTAGATGTTTTGATTGCTCAGTCTCTCGATTTATCAATTTTTCAGTTTTAACTTTTCGATTTTCCGATTTTCGACTATTTCGGGTTCTCAATTTTTCCATTTTTCGACTTCTCGACTTTTCGACTCCTCGATTTGTCGATATTTTGATTTTTCGATTTGTCGATGTCTCAGTTTGTGAATTTTTCGATGTTTCGATTTCTGGATTTGTTCATTTTTCAGTTTTTCGATTTTTAATTTTTCAATGTGTTAAATTTTTAGATTTTTAAATCTTTCGATTTTTCAGGTCTTCAATATTTTTTAATTTTTCAAATTTTGACGTTTCTAAATTTTCAGTTTTGCGATTTTTCATTAACCTATTTTTTGATTTTCCCATTTCTCAACTTCCCAATGTTTCGATTTTTCAGTTTCTCAGTTCTTCCATTTTTCGATTTTTCAATTAAGTTTGCGATTTTTTGACTTTACTCTTTTGACTTTTCGATTTCCCAATTTTTCAATGTTTTAATTTCGCACTTTTTGCATATTTCGTACAATTTTGTGATTTTTGAGTTTTTCGATTCTTCAATTTTTCTTCTATTTTTGAATTTTTTGATATTTCAGTTTTGGAAATTTTTAGCATTTATTCTTTTCCATTTTTCTAGTTCTGGAATTTTCGATTTTTCTAAGTCTGGATTTTTAGATTTCTCGACTTTTTACTTTTTGGATTTTCAATTTTTCGTTTTTTAAACTTTGGGTTTTTCAATTTTTATCAACGCAACTGTCAACGCAGGCGACTAATGTAGGCATATTCGTTCAAATGTAGAGGTCCCTCTAGCGTTTTCAGCAAGAATGATGTTAAGCTAATTGGTCTATAGGATTTAACCAAAGTGTAATTTTGTTGTCCTGGTTTAGGTATAAAGATAACCTTTACTTCTGTCAACTGGCTACTCCAGTCTTGCTGCCGTGACAGTCCTTCGGGAAGGTTGAGTATCGGCTACATCCCTTTTGGAATGGGAGGTAGTCTTTGTGCCGCCTGGAAACATAGTCTGCAGCAAAAGTTCTGCGAATTCTTATAAGGTGGCTGTAAAAGTGCCATCTTCTTTCTTTAGGAAACCTAGTTGATGTGTGTGGTCCTTCGAGAGAACTCTCTTCAGCCTTGCGGCCGAAGCAGTCGACGTTATGTCTCTGCAGAAGGATCTCCACGGTTCCCGTTTCCTCTTTCTTAATTCTTTCTTAAACTCTTTCAGGTTCTCTTTATAGGCTTCCCAGTCTTCAGTTTTCTTAGTGTTTTTGCTCTATTGAAAAGTTTTCTTAGTCCCGATTGAAGTAGAGTGAGTCTTCGGTTCCACCATGGTGTACCTTTGTCCAAGTCTTCCTTCTTTAGGGGGTAACTTTTCTTATAAGCTGACTTTAGAGAGTCGTTGATAATGGTCCACAGTCTGTCTTCCAGTTCTTCTTTGCTGTACGTGTTTGTCTCTATGTCTGTACATTTTAATGTATACATAGATAATAATCCATCAATGATCTGACACGGACGCCTCTTTAGAGACGTGCCATTCCATTATATATTGTGAGATATCCCATGTAGCGAGTGTAATACCTATTATTGACTGACGACGCGATGTTACGAAAGTTCGTTCGCAGCCTCGGTTGAGAATTTCTAGATTTGTTGCCAAAAGAGATTCAGCTATTCTTCCTCTTTCATAAGTATCTTTGCTTCCCTACATCGCCATCTCCCATGTTCGACATGGTTCATGTGCTTCCTGTGGTAAGTACAAGGATGCTATTACCAGTTGCTCCTCGCCTCTTCCTATGTTCACTTAACATTTACCGCAGTCACATCCCTAGAGCTGACCTGAGGTAGGAGGACGGCTTTAATATCCCTGAGAATGTAAATACATGTCCTTGGAGATACTATTGTGGTACCTGAAACAACAGTGCCATTTAAATTGCTCAACCCCGCGACCCTAGATTTTACTATCCATAGTTCTTGGATTATTGCTATAATGTTCTGCATATTGTCTAGGCGACGACACAAAACAGTCCCCGCCGTGCGACAATACTGCAGGTTAATCTGGATAAAATTTATCTGTTGCAGCGCCATCTCTGCAACTAAAAATCTCATACCTGTCTTAGGAGACACGAGGATTACGTCTCAGGCGGGCCCGCCCC